TAGGACGTGTGAGGAGAAGGGATGTAACCAGGAGCCCCTCAGCAGGGCTGGGGGCTGGGCTGGGGCAGGAGCGGCTCCAGCTCACCTGGGATTCTGGGGTGTGCCTGGCAGCCACCACTGCGTCTTCTGTGAGGTCCCCTCCCAGGGCAAGCCCAGGAACCTGCAGAGCTGAGGAGAGCTCTGGATGAGATCTACCCTCACAGTCGGCCTCCCTACCTGTGGAGTCCAAGTTCAAACACTGGTTAGTACATTCCCGCCAAGGAGTTTATGCCGTGTGCTCCTTTCCAAAATCCTTGATCCCTCCCAGCTCCAGTCCTAGACCCACAGAGATCTGGTGTGTTCTGTAGATACAGAAAATTGATGGATGCTTGGTAGGAATGACATAATGAAAGCAGCATAGAAACAAAACAAAGCCTTCCATTGTAAGACCCTTTAGCTTGACTTTCTAAGAGAAGGGATAAGAGGATTTTTGTTACTGTTAACATCACTTTAGTAGCTCTTACAGTGCTTTCTGCTTACGTCTAAAAACCTAAGATGAGTCAGATATGGCTTCTCCCCAGATAGGACAAAATGGGGTGTGCTTATCTACAACTTGCACAGATTTTAGAGAAGGGGAAAGTCAGGTTCACCTATAACGGGTGGGGCCTTGCCAAGGCAACCACAGGCGGGACTCAAAATTCAATAAATTTAGAAGCTTTTTTCATAGCAATTTTAAAGTTTCTAATTCTGTATGGCTTGCAAATGATGTCATAAATATCCAAATGGCCTTGGCAGAAAACAGGTTCTCCACCCCTGACCTATAAGAAATAAACTTAGCAAGGGGCAAAGAACAAGCTAGTTTAGGCTAGAACCTCTGCTGAGAAATAAAGACTGCATGTTGACTTGTCGTGTCCCAGTGTTGTGTGTCTTGGGAACCTGCCTCAGTGTTCCCAGCACATGGGGACCATACAATAGTTTCCTACTGAGTGATTTTCAATTTGTTCTGATTACAGACCAAGGGTTTGGAAGATGTATACTCTTCTTTTTGCAGCAGTCCTACAATCTCTGGGACATTCTGGCTGGCTTTATAGATCCTGCCTTCTTTTCTTCACAGCATTTACCAATATCTAAAACTGTATTATTCATTTATATGCTATCTTCCTTACTGGAATGTAAGCTCCATTGCAGTGAGAAATCTCTGTCTTACTGAGAACTCTGTCCCTGGTGTCTACTACACTGGCTACCACATAGGGGCCTCCATAAATGCATGCTAAGTGAATGGAGATCACTTTGTTGTTAAATCAATTCTTGCCCTGGTCCATGTGGCTCAGTTGGTTGGAACGTCACCCCATTGCACCAAAAGTTCACCAGTTCGATTCCTGGTCGGGGCACATGCCCAGGTTGGGGGTTTGGTGCCTGGTCAGGGTGCTTAGTGGGAGGCAACCAATGTTTCTTTCTCACATCAGTTTCTCTCTCTCTCCCTCTCCCTGAAATCAATTTTTTAAAAAACATATTTAAAAAAATCAATTCTTTCCAAACACAAATTTTAATAGTCTTATTTACTATGTCCAGATTTGGTTAGGAAAGCTTTCCACTATTGTTTGAAATTTCCCTTTTAGTCTCAGTCTCAAATTAAAGTAGATCTGTGATGGGCATATAAAAAACACAGTCAACAGATCCGTCTTTTAGCTGACCCTAAGTGAAACTGGATGAAGATGGCAGAATTCCTACTGCCCAAAAGATAATCCTCACCTCTGTCTGGTAAGGGCTGGGATCCCACAGATTCATGCTTGAGCAGAACTTTCATCCGCTGGAACTGGGTACTTCGTGACCTCTGAGCTGGTGTCAATACTGCTATCTTGCAACAGAGCATTTGCCCCTGGTCACCACTTGGGACCTAAAAGTCATTCATTTATCCATCAAACATTTCCATCATGCTCTCTGTGTGCTAGTACTTTCTCTTTTCCAGGCACTATTTCTATGAGCTTTACAAATATTAACTCAATACAGACAACAATTCTATGAGCTAGTACTATTATCATCTTTACATTTGTAATGGGGAAACTGAAGTACAGAGTTTATGTAACTTGGCCAAGGTCACTCAGCTAATCCATGTCAATGCAGGATGGGAGCTCAGGCAGAATGACACCAGAGCCCATGCTCTTCGCCAGTGCTCTGTGCTTCCTCATTACATACATTTGTGCGTTTATGAAAACTCTTTGGGAATCGGGGCTAAGTTCTCAGAGAATACTGATATCTTTTCTTCTATGAAAAATGAGGATAATTTCCAGTTTACAGGTTTTGGGGGAGCAGTAAATAAGCTTCCCCCCGAACATTTATACTTAAGTTAGTGGATACTAACTTACTTTCTCAGGAGCAGCTCAGAATTCCCCACATCCTCTATCAAGAATGAAGAGCCTGAAGATGAGACTTGAAATGATTTTTCACTGTTACAGCACTAGGGGGCACTCCCTCCCAAATATTCCATGAGTACAAATAGGAAAAAAANATGAAAGCAAAATAATGAAAAGTTTTTCATCTGCAGATCCTCTGAACTTTGCTAGGGAAGGGGAGAAAAATGAGATTTTAGTTATGTTTTTAGTAGCTCTTTTGGGGCTTTCTGCTTGGTTTTGAAAAACTATGAAGAGCAAGACAGGCTGGTCCCAGAAAGGCAGAAGTAAACATCTGGTTGTAGAGAACTTGCTGATTCAAGAGAGAGAAAAGTGAAAAGAAGGCAGGTTTTCCTGTAGGAGGCATACTTTAAAAGGGCACAAGGCAGTTGGTTTGCACTAGAACCTCTGTTAAGAAATGATGACTGTGTGTGGGGTGCCATGTCCCAGGGCTGTGTCTTGGAAACTGAAACACATGACCAGGGCACATGAGAAACACCTCAGAACACACAGCCATGTCCTATGGAGTGAGTGTCATGCTACTTTAATAACAGACATTGGTTTTAGAAAATTTATATTCTTTGATTTGCAACAACCCTATAGTCTATGGGATATTCTAACTGCCTTTACAGGTTCTGTTCATTTTCTGAAATTGTGTTATTAATGTGTTTTCTTGCTATCTTCACCACTAGAATGTAAGCTCCCTTGCAGTACGGACTCTACCTCAGTGATGGCTCTACCCCCAGTACTAGCAACACTGCCTACTACATAAGACAGTCCTCACCTCTGTCTGGTAAGGCCTGGGATCCCATGGGTTCATGCTTGAGCAGAGTCTTCATCGGCTGGAATTGGTGACTATGTGACCTGTGGGATGGTGTCAACACTGCCATGCTCTGGTCACCACCTGGAACCTAGAATTTATCATTTATTTTCACTTATTCATCAAACACTTCTATAGCACTTTCTATGCATCTGACAATGTTTCCAAGAGCGTTAAGAATATTAACTCCTTTAACACTCTTTGGGAATTGGGGCTAAGTTCACAGAGAATACTGATATCTTTTCTTCTCGGAAAAATGAGGGTATTAATTTCCAGCTTACAGGGTGTCGGGGAGCAGTAAATAAGGTCACAGTACGTGAAATCACCTTACACAGGCCCCTGCACATGGTGTGTCCCCGGGGAATGCAGGCTTCCCTCCAGACATTTATAGTTGTTAGTTTCCAAGTTACTTTCTCAGGTGCAGCTCAGAATTCCCCACATCCTCTGTCAAGAATCAAGAGCCTGCCTGGCCGGTGTGGCTCAGCAGTTGAGCATCTACCTAGGATCCAGGAGATCTCGGTTTGATTCCCAGTCAGGGCACATGCCTGGGTTGCTGGCTCCATCCCCAGTAGGGGGCATGCAGGAGGCAGCCCATCAANTCAACAGGTCGGAAGAAACCGTCTCAGGTCCTACCTCTTCCAGACAACAATCCAGAGCCTCTTTTCAAACAAGTGTTTTTCCAGTCATCTTCTAGAGTGTGGCAGATCTCCGACACCACCTGATAACCTGTGGCAAATGAAGCCCCAGCCCATAATCTCTGTGGTCAGCAAGGGCTCCAGGGTGGCTTCAATTCAACGAGGAAGGAGCACCAACTTTGGCACCTAAGCCATGGGTCACCGGGACAGAATTTTCTTCACAACGTGGCTTCTCTGANAAAAAAAGAATGTAGAGCCTGAAGATGAGTGACTTGAAATGATTTTTCACTGTTACAGCGCTAGGGGGCACTCCCTCCCAAATATTCCATGAGTACAAACAGGAAAAAAATATACTTTTATTTTTATTAGTCTCTAAAAGAGATTTAGCNATATACTTTTATTTTTATTAGCCTCTAAAAGAGATTTAGCATTGGCTTCAAGCCAAGTGGAATAAGCACACCCGGGAACCTGTCTGCTATAGAAATTGCTCGTCTTCACATCATGTTACAACCAGGTAAACAGTGTCAAAGTAACTCATGCTTGTAACCCTTTGAAATGACCAGTTATTATTTAGCGCATTAATTTTTAAAAGCGCATCTATAACTTTGTCACAAATTTGTTTCATGCCCTGCTAACTGTATTTCAATATAATCGAGCTTTTTTGTAATCCTTTATACTTTTATTTTAAGAATATTATTATGAGAAGGGGTCCAGGGACTTCACCTACTGCCAAGGAGGTTCCTGGTCCACAGAGAGACTGTGAACTCTGGGTCCTAAAGGAAATGCCCCACCTCAGCTCGTGAGGTTTCAGGAGGAAACAGGCCAGGCTCTGAGACACCGAACCTGCTCTCTACCTGCGGCGCGGGCTCCTCCAGCGGCCTCTGCAGATACTCCAACAGCACCACGGCCTCCTCCCCGCTCTGCGGGTGCAGCTCCCGCACCCGGGCCTGCAGCCCCGCGGGCAGGATGCTCAGGAACTGCTCCAGCACCAGCAGCTCCAGCATCTGCTCCTTGCTGTGCGTCTCGGGCCGCAGCCACAGCCGGCAGAGCTCGCGGAGCCGGCTCAGCGCCCGGCGGGGCCCCCGGGCCTCGGGGTAGCGGAACCCGCGGAAGCGCTGGCGGGAGCGCTCCCGCCCCGGGGCCTCGTCGTCCTCCACCTTCACCGCCAAGATCCCAGCCCGGTCCTCGGCGGACCGGGCGTCCAGGGCCGCGCTCTCCCCGGACTCTCCCGCCATCCTGGACCCGGGCCGCACTCGGGCCTCCCTGCAGCTGGAGCTGTTTCCGCAGAAGATTCCTGGAGGGGAGGTCGCGTCAGCCAGTCCAGCAGCAAGGACACCCCTGGGCGCAGGTGCACAGGCTTCTCGGGGCAGCCGCGCCTCGCGGCCTCGCCCTGGGCGCCCCAAGCGAATCCCGAGGCCGCGCAGCCTAAGCGGGACTCGCCTCCCCTGGCTCTCTAGGAAGCGCCTCTCGGTGGCTTTTCCCGAATTAACCCCTTAGCTACCGGGTCCCGACCTCCACCCCGGGGAGGCGGCAGGCGGGGGAAGGAGCGGCGGCTCTGCACCCTGAGAAACGCTGTCAGGGCCGCGCGGGGTCCGCAGGCCCGAGGCCGGCTAGACTGAGGGGTGGCAGCGTCGCCCACAGAGGCCGCGCCCTCGGAGCCCTCGGAGCTCCGCGCGGGGCGCCGGCCTCTCCCTGCCCAACATCGCCGAGAGTAGCGGCCGCCCCTCGTCCTTCCCGGCTGCCTTTCTCTTTCCTCCCTTCAAGGCCAAACTGCTTGAAAGAAAGCACTCCCCCGACTCCAGCCCTCACCTTCACTCCGCCGTAAAGCACTGTAGGGGCAAAGCCGCTGAGATTTGTCCCGCAGAAGTAACCGTAG